GCTGGGAAGCCCCTTCCTCTGTACCAGGAGCAGTGGGACAGTGGCTCAGAAGCCCCTACCACTGGACTGGGACCTGTGGAAAAGACGGAGGCCCAAAAACCCTTTCCTCTGGGCTGGGAGTGGCGGGATCAATTAGGCATGCTCTTTAACTTGAACTCTGAAGAAAATGCTCCAGGAAAAAAAAATGCTAGTCATGGTTTAGCAGTTTTATACTCACATATGAAAAAGATCTAAATTTTTCATTAATAAATCAATATGAGTCAGTAGAACAATATGACTACTGAAGACACCAGTATCTAAACAGGTTACATTAACAGATGCACAAGGTCCAGAACCAAGAAGTCACCTCTGTGAGGATAAAACTACATTTGGGAGTTTGTGTCCAATTCCAGAGATCTAAGAAACATTCTAATAAAAATGTTAGAAACCAAGATGTGGAGAAGGCTGAGAAAATGTTTTCTTCAAAGACTAGGGCTATTTAACTTGGGAAAGCAAAGGCTCAGGAGAGAGCTCATCTGTACTTCTATCCAATGTTTGAACCATCTGGGACTCAGCAGAACTGGGACTAAGTGGTGAGCTACAGAAGAAAAGGGCTGCCTCAAGAGACCAGTAAGCTCCTTATCTGTGGGGATGATGCAGCAGAAACTGATTCCTATGTCAGGGTGGTGTGAGAAGAGAAGTAGAGATAGGCTGCAATTCAAAAAACATTCTGAAAAAAGACAACACTAATTCTTGTTGGAGAATGTTCCCCTTTCCCAGCACAGTGACTATATTCAGTCTTATTCAGTGACTGTATACAGAATCATTTCAATAATTTGGTTTTTATGTTCATGTCCTTTTAAGGCCAAGATGCTATCCATCTTCTTTCTCCTCTAAACTTTCTAATAACGAGGACTCACAAGCAAGCTTGCCTATTACCTTCTGAGGATTTCCATGCCTTCCACAGGTCCTCCACACTGATAAGCTTATCCTCACCATGGAAGGTGCTGTGTTTCACTGTTGGATCATGGTAATTGAGGTCTTCCCTTAGGAACTGCAAGAGAAAAGCACACAAGTCACAAGACATGCCACAGAGCCAGTCCAACAAGATCTTCACAGAGGGTACTTCTAGCTATCCATAGCTTATTCCATTTACCCAATGCATAATTGTACCACATCACTCATGTATCATGTCCATATGTCTTAGTTGCCATTGAAACTACCTTTCTTTGTTCTGTTTCACTTGAAAAATAAATATGAATCAGAAATTATTTTCTTATACTTAAAAAAAAATTAAATTTCATTAGTACATATTTGCTGGCCTGGGATTTAGCTCAGTGGTTCCAGCGCCTGCCTCACAAGCACAAGGTCCCACATTCGATCCCCAGTACCAAAAAAAAAAAAAAAAAGAAAAGTACATATTTGCAGTGCATAATAATTACATTCAATATGGGAAGTTGGTCCACCTACTTAACACATCTTAATTCTTTTTACATCCCCTATACCGTTTTTTAAATTATGGAAATACAATAAATGACAATTAACTGGAATTCAATAAGCTAGAAAAGGGAAGAAAGAAAGCAAAGAAGAATTCGCAATTTTTGAATACTTCTTTATACACTAAGAAATATTCCAAGAACTTTCACAATGTTCTCTCACCTAATTTTCACAACCAATGAATTATCACACCTATTTTACAAATAAGAATAGTAATACTCTCAAAAGTGATGTAATTTGACCCAAATAAAATTAGATTTAGAGGTTAAATTACTTGCTGTTATGACTTTAAAACATGTCCACAAATTCTTTGACAATCTTCCCTTTAAAGATGAATTCCGTTCCCCTTGAATATAGGCTAGCATTTGCAATTCATTGCTATGGCTTAGATAAGTGTCCTCAAAAGGCCCATGTGTTAAAAGCTTGGTCCTCAGGGTGCCACTGCCAGGAGGTGGTGAAACTTGAGTGGTGGGGCCTTGTGAGAAGTCTTTGTGTCACTGGGGGCATGCCATAGAAGGGGACTGAACAACTCCAGCCTCTTTTTCTTTTCCTTTGCTTCCTGGCTCACCACATAAATTGTTTTCTCCATTATATACTTCCACCATGACGTACCACCCTCACTTGCCAAAGACTCCAAGAAATTAGGACACTGAATTTTGGTATAGAGACTCCAGTACTGTGAATCAAAATAAATCTTTTCTCTTTATAAGTTAATTGCCTCAGGTATTATATTATGGTGATGGAAAGCTGACAAATACACTCATCTTCTAACAAAGTGAATGTGGCAGCAGTGATGCTGTATGATTCCAAAGGCTAGTTTAGAAAAGGCAATATGGATTCCACCTGGTTCTCCTTCTTTTAAAACACATATTTGGGGACCCCTGAGCCAATATATAAGAAGCACCTGAAGGTTCCCCTGAAGTCACCATGCTGGAGAGATCATATGAAAAACTATAAAGAGGGATATCTGAGCAGTTTCAACTGTTTAAGTCTTCCAGCCTAGACGACAGACATATGATTGACACTTCAGGAGATTCCAGCCCCCAGCTTTTGAATCTGATACTTAGTGGACACAGATAACCTATCTCTACTGAGCCATGCCCAGAATGTAATACATGAGCAAAATAAATGCCATGATAAGCCACTGAGTTTGGGGAAGGTTTGTAATACAGCATTAGATAGCTAAAACACTTGTTCATGGTTATAGCTGATAAGTGATGGAATTAGTACTCTAACCCATGATGCCTGACTTTAAGGTCCAAATATTTCCCTGGCATTGCATATGTCATCTCTTAATTATCCAGAATTTTTTCCATAATATACTTTTATAAGAAAGGAGAAAAATGAAGGAAATCAACACTTTTAGAAATTGTATATTATCTGTGATTACACAGAATCATTCAGCTTGATCCTTAACTCTTTATATGCTAGGCAGTGATCACTGCTATATATATATATATATATATATATATATATATATATGCGCACACACATACATATACACACTATTTTGATTACTAGTCTACTAGTCTCAAAGGAACACATTATAGTAGGATTTTCAGGAAATCAGGAAATGTTTCTTATTCATTTTTCTTTATCCCTGGGGTCCAGTGTGTGTTTGTTTGTTTGTTTGTTTTTTAAGATGTCCAGGCTGGCCCCCAACTTCCTGGGCTCAAGCAGTTCTCCCACCTCAGCTCCTGGGGTAGGTAGGACTTCAATGTGTTCTTAATATTTCCAAAAAAATGAAAAATAAAATAAATAAAGATTTCCATGTCAGGTATAGTTTCAGGTATGAGAGATGTATGTGTAAAACAGAAAAAATCTTTGTCTTCACTGATCTATCAACAAGTATCACAGGCAGGTCTTAAGAACAGAAATGCTAAAATCTCCAAGGAAGGAGATTTTCTATTACTAGATAACTCCAGGAAACCATCTGATAAGAGATGCTAGCTGCTTATAGAGAACCAACATGAAGTAGACTGCTTTTTATAGGAAAGTCTGATCATGAGGTATGTGGACAGCAGAAAAGTTCATGGAAAGAAAGTGGAAAGTATCTGCTTGGGGATTCACAGACCCTATTGGTGCCACAAAAGCATGCAAAGGAGTGGAGTCAGAAAAGAAGGCCAGCACAAAGACAATGCCAAATGGTGAAAATGGCAGACAGATGCTCTATGTGAAGGAAGGGTCTGAATCTGAATGGAACCTCTTCCAGAGAACAACGAAGTGAGGCTGCAACAGTCAGGCCTTTAAATTCAGAAAGGCACTATACTATACAGTATACTTTAGAACCTGTACAAATAGGCCACTTATTTCCTGTGTGGCTCTAGGCAAGCTATTCAGCATCTCTTAGCTTATTATCCCCTCACATTGAGGGCTAATCATCCCTCTTATTTGAGTGTGATAAGAATTAAATGAGACATGTTTACAGAAGTCATAAACTGCCTTTGTATTATTGGCCTGCAAAGCATATTGTACAGTTGGACTTACGTCCAGCTTTTCAGCCTAGCTTTTAAAAAACAAAATAGTTAAGGGCTATAATTTGATTGGAAAGTTAGGGTAGTGGCTAAAGGACTTGTCATGAGATTGTGTTTGCACAGCAAACACACTACTTTTCTCCAGAGTGTTCACTGTAAATTAATTGTCAAATGCAACATTTTATGAATATGTTTTGCTTTGTGTTTTACCTAAAATTGAGAAAAATATCAATTGTTTGTATCAAAATGGGGGAGAGCAGCTTGGAGCTGGTGCTAAGGGAGATAATGAAGTTCTCGATTTTGTCTTCATTGAGCTATCAACAGGTATCACAAGCAGCTCTTTGACACCACTCCTGGATTCACATACCTATGTGGCAATAGTCTGCCAGAGCTGAGCAGCAGCTGCCTCCTTCTGAAGAAGCATGTGCTCTCTAGTTTGCCATTGCTCCTGCCATCACAGATTATACACTTAGTAGTTATGATACCCGCAGTCTTTGGAGGCATTGAATTTGACTTCTAGTATATACAAAATCACTCTGTAAGTTTAACAAAATGGGTTGTTTTATGCTTCCACAGCTCTTGCGCATACCTTTATCAGCCTCGTTCTGTGTCTACCCTGTAAAACCACATACTCCGACAGAAGCTTCCAGTTACTCGATAATAAATGTAGCATATCAAAATGTTATACTGAGCCAGGCGCAGTGGCACAAGCCTGTAGTAATCCCAAGGACTCTGTGAGGCAGAGGCAAGATCATAGATTGGAGACCAGCCTGGGCAATTTAGCAATTTAGCAAGACCCTCTCTCAAAAGTTAAAAAAAAATATATATATTACAGGGGTTGGAGATGTAGCTCATTGTGAAGGCCCTGGGTTCAATCCCCAATACCACAAACTGAAGTTATATTGAACTACAACTCTGATGTTCAATATATTTGAGGTAAGCATTATCACATCTTACTCTAAATACTGGCCCCCCGTGCTGCTAAAAGTTAAAACCTGACTTAAGACAAAATTTACAGGCAACAACAAGCAAAGGCAGCTTTATAGGCAGCTTTTGCCTCTTGGCTCCCCCAACAAGGATTTACTGTTTTAGACTCAGAACAAGGAGCCCCTCCCTCAAGAAGGTCCAAAGAGGATCCCTAAAAGTCTTGCCTTACGATGAGGAAAGCAGTATTGGCTAAAACTGCAGCTCAATAGCTCGCCTAAGCACCAAGGCACCAGCTGTCACTAGGTATATTTAGCTCTGTGAGCTCAGAAAAGTGATCTCTCAAGAAGTAGCATAAGGCAAGCAACCCCATCCTAAGTGTGAGGAAGTAGTGAACCAGTGTAGGTGGGAGCAGCAAAGAGGTGAGACATCTCTCTAGAATTCCCACAATGCGGGCCCACTCAGCACTTCAGGCAACAGAATTCACTAACAAAAGGCCAAAGGAGGGCGGGAATTTAGCTCAGTGGTTCTGCCGCCTGCCTCACTTGAAGGCACAAGGTCCCCAGTTCGATCCCCAGTTTTAAAAAAGAAAAAAAAGGCCAAAGGAAAACCAGCACAACTTTGGGTGCAGGAATCTGGGAAGTTCCCCTGGGTCCTACCTTAGAACCAATTACTCCCCTCCCTTATCTAACTTTGTGCCTCATTACTTTCCTTCCATGCCTCCCAAGCCAAACTGTACCTCTACTCCCACTTACCCTGCAACCCACCACCTCCTTAGTAAACAGCACGTCATGTGCTCCATACCTCCCAACTCTTTTTTTCATACTCTTCAACTCTTGTTCACCTCCTAAACATCCAGCAAGGACCCACATTTTAGCTACAGTAGCACTAAATGCCATTTACATGGAGTGCTAGGACATGAATGTTTCAGGGATGAAATACCTGTCCCAAATAACATCAGAAGCTATTTGTTGACGGTAGGGAGAAGTCAGACCGTTCTCTCTCATCTTTGTATATCTAAGTCTCCTCTTTATCAAATTAAACACTAGAATGGCCTTTATGAAGCACAAATTAGACCAACTCACCTACTTAAAATATCATGGCTCTTCATAACCTAAAAGAAAAGGTCCTAATTTCTCAGCCTGGCATTTGAGGCCTT